TAAATGTATATTAATACAAAAATTTTTAATGATGTAAGAAGTAAGATTGTAAAAAGTATAAATAAGTTTTAGTATATTCATATATATCATTGTGCTTTTTATAGTGAAAATTCTAATTTCATAATTTATAAATACGGTAATTACTAGTAACCTGTCTTTTGTTGTTGTTACTGTAAACAAAATTTATCTGAATGAATTGAAATTATTAGACATTTTCTGTAGTGATAGTCAATAAATTTTTATTATAAGTTTTTTGTATTAATGTAACATAAAAAATTTTTTTAAATTAAATGTTTTGTGTATTTATCTTTTATTAAATCAATTATTACTGGATTTTTTGTACTACAAACTTGCTTTATTTTAAATTAATTATTAAGACAGTTTGGCCTAACAATATACAAACGTAATAATAAACTCATCTGTTTCATAGGCTTTAATAATAAATTTAAAATATAGAAGATTTATATTCCAAAACATTCAATGATATTTGTTTATATTTAATGTTTTCAGGATTAGTGAATTCTTAATATGTTTATCTTTTATTTATTTAGAAATTTTTACAAATACCAGAAGTAAACAAATGGACCACTCAATTTCAAGATGATACTAACACTGTTATTAAATTTAAAGATGTTTCATGTACTTGGGATATTCCTGGAATGGAAAATGAAACAGAAACTAACAATAAAATTGTTAAAATTAAATTAGAAACAAAAAATGAAGAGTGCAATCCTTTAACAAAAGATTTAGATTCAATTGGAGAAGCTGTTCTGAAAGGAGTAGAATTAATTGTGAAAAAGGTAATTGATATTCTTTTTGTTTCATACAAAATTAGAGTAGTTTTTCATTTTATACATTTATGCAGTTTTCAATTTCAATAGAAAAGTTGAATGTCTGAAAGTTGAACAATGAAGTTGTATGCAAAAAAGAAACAGTTAACAGAGTTTTGCAACAATACAGCACAGTAATAACTTTGCAATTATTAATGCTGCTTCGTTACTTTAATGTAATTTGAGCAAATAATGGAAATGATGACTTAGATCGAAAAAACAGAATAAAAATAAATATATTGTGATTGTTTAGAAAGTTCCATTCTCAAAGAGCTAAAAAAGAAAATTAGAAAATCTCTGATTAAAAAGAGAAAAGTTTAGAATATACAGAGAATATTCTACAAAGCCTAAAACATTATTTAAAACATTAAACCCATGGATTAAGTAGAAGACAGAGAATAAAAATTAATTTTCATAAATATTTTTGATTCTCAAGGTTGATAAACTGCCTTATTAGAGCATATTTTTGGCAGCATGTTGTGCAAATTGTTTTTCTTAGACACAGAACAAGTAATTTCAAGAGCAGCGAATTGCATCCACATGGAATGTGAATCTTCCATATCTGCATGGGAAAAATACCTTTGTTCTGACACTTGATCAGGAAATTAAGTTTAGCTTCATTCTTACCAATTTTAAGCGCTAATTTACAATATGTTTTTAAAAATTACATAGGCTGTTTTTTTTTTCAACCTCTGATGGTCCATAAAACAAAGAAAAGTGTAAATAACAAAATGAATTTATTACCAAAAATTAGGTACAAACATGATTACTTTTTGACATAATCACTGTGAAGATTGAGGCATTTTACATATCTGTGGACGAGCTTTGCAATCCCCTCTTCATAGAACTGCCAGTGACTTGAGATGGGCCTTAACTTGATGGGCTTGAGTTGTTTTGAAGATTGTCATTAGTCTCGAATCTCTGCCCTCCTAGCCACATTTTCAGTTCAGGAAAGAGGAGGATGTTCATCTCATCTAGTTTGTTATTGTGTTCGTTTGCTTTTCACACTGTCTGTCTAGCTGTTAAGTAAGTATTAAGATTCATGATTGCATTCAGTTTTATTAGTGTTAAGTAGATATAAGTCTTTCTACTAATAGCCACTTGGCACTAACTTCTACACTTAGCTATTTGTGTCGGCACTCAATTATTGGTGTTCGCTACACTCAGGTTTTCTTTTAGATCCTTCAGGGGACTACGGCCTTGCAGCCTAAAAGTTGCATGCCAACATCAAATATAGAGGGTACTGTAGCCTTATGTACACCGTTCAGAGGAATCCTACCTTTCTCTACTGTCTATCTCCTCTCCCTCCTTCTTCCCTTACCTTCTTTTCTGCTGGCTAAACACTTCGTGTACGGCCGATGTCTTTCTTGTATGTATGTATGTCCTTGAGTGGTATTTCATGCCATTCAAGGACAGTAGGATTAAATGATACCTGTACTACATAGGCACTACTAGTCAGTCATTAACATCAAGGATCAAAGAACACAAGGACAGCATCCAGAAGGCTACCCCTTCCACTACATTAGCAGCTTACTTGATGTCGGAGTCCATTTTAGTAGACTGAGATCAGACTAAAATAATCCAAAAAGTGCAAAATAAAAACATAATAAAAGCAAGGCAAATATATAAAACATCTTTGAGAGGGCAAGCAATCAATTACAAAGATAGCAATGCAATATCCAGTGCATGAAAGGCACTAGTGATGTAAATTAATAATAATTATGTATTTCTAATTCCAATTCAAAATTTATCAAAAAATAAATAAATAAATAAAACAAGACAAGCAAATATCATATTTAAAATATGCAGAATACAAATTATATTTAGCTGAAAATAAAAAACAAATTTGAATTTGGCGTATGAAAACTAATCTAGAAATTGTAGAATATTGCCAGATTGCATTCAAACTCAAGTGGAAACTGGCATTTGAACTAGTGGAAAGCTTAAATATGACTTGGCAATAGTGCTGGCAATACTTGGCAAAGTCAACTAATGTCAAATTAATGGATGTTTCAAATTAGGAAATGGCTGGATTATTGAGACTGTATTGTAATTGATAATGATAAAAATTTATTTTTTAGACGTTTTTATTTTACAAATAAATGAAATTCTTGGAAAATTACTGTTTTATTATAATTAATGATAATATAGAAAATTCTAAAGATACTACAGATTAATAAAATTTCCTAAACAAAAATTGCAAATTTTAAAACGTACATGAACATTTAAGTAACTTTTATATTGAATCTGAGTAAAAGTTTAAAAAAATCTAAACTTTTTAATGATATATTTTTAACCATTTAATGAAAGCTAAGGAAAAGAATTTGCCATATCTTTTCTAATTAATTTACAGATTAAAGAAAACAATAAAATGACGCATAATTAACTTATTTTTGTATTAATTTATTAAACTAAAATATATTTTAAAAAACTGTAATGTTAATTTTAAAAAAAATGTAACAATTTTAATTTTTAATCAAAATTTTAAAATTTTGTTTTTAATTGGATATTTTTTCATTACTTTTAAAGGAATTTTTTAAATTTTGATGCCGTGTAGCCTACAAAGAAAGGTCAGTCTTCACAAATTGTATTCAGAAACAATTAAAATGAATAAATGGTAACACCTCTTTCACAGACTGTGAAGTGATATCAAGTCAAACATGAAAGGAACATGATATTAAAGATTGTTAAACATGGCATCTTAGGCTTTCCATAAAAACAGTACAGTATGTTTTAACACAAAATTGTATAAATATAAAAATCAGTCTCTCAAAATTTTTCACTAAATTACCGGGAATCCACCAAATTGGCAGCATGATTACTGATGACAGCAATGTACTTGATGACAAAAAAGCAAAAGATAATTGAAAAATATTTTAAAAGGATTGAGAATTAATTTGAGGACTCTAAAATACTGACAAATGATAACTCTTTTCATATTTTCTTGCTATTCTATTGATATACAATGAGTGATTGGTTAACAAACATAATCCCTATCCGAATTGTTCATTAACCGATTATCAATTTACCACAGATTTTTATGGGAATTTGATTAATCCATTCTGGAGATCCCCAAAAATAAAAAATTATATACTTTCTTACTATGTTTATTTGTATGTAATAATAAAAATACATATATACGCAGTCTTGCATTTTTATCAGTCATGTTTTTTCTGTTTGTGGGCATTAAAGAATCTGTCCAATGTTGATTGCTTTTCTCTTTTCTTCAGGATTTTTCAGAAGTAATTAATAGCATTGCAATTGTAGAAATCCCCAAGCCTCAACCTGGTTTGGATGCCATTCTAAGACTGTTGTTCTGACATTCTCCCACTTCTTCAAAAGATCTTTAATAGCAGATGTCTGCATTAATCCTCTTTTTCAGAAGAAAACATATCTCGCTGAGTTTCTTGGCATTCTTCTGTCATCGGATCAGTTTCAAGTTCTATTATAAGCTCTTCAATGTTCTTTATTTCTCAGATGTGATTTTTGTTACTTCTTTAGCTGCTTGAGTCTTCTTGATTATACTGTATCTTTCTTAGATAAGTTTGAACTGTGGGCTACTGTAGACCTGTTCAAGCCATACTGCCCAGCAACATTAGGCATCTTCTGCCTACTTTCTACCTTTGCTATTATACTCTCACCTTTCGAAAAGAAAAATAGACGCAAAACTTAATGAGTGCCTACCCGACAGTCTCACGAATACATAAAATAATTGTTTTGTCAGAAAAATAAAAGGCTGAAATTACAAGGAGGAGTTTCAATGTTTGGAGGAATACTGTCTGATCAGTATATACCGGGTTGAGTGTCAATATCAATGTCTTCCTGCGCTCTGAAAAGTTTCAAATTGTTGCCTGAAGACAAGGGAAGACCAATCAGTATTCATTATTTTATGTTGCTTCTTCTTGTGTTTGTTCTATGAGGTGTTCATTATCCGAACATGTGTTTGTTGTCCAAACACAAAAATCTTTTGCGAAAGTGTTTGTTATCTGATTTGTTCATAGTCTGAACTGTTTGTTAACTTATTAACCACAGTATGCGTTTTTAATTAATACATTGTATGATATTTGTATTAACTTCTGTGGAAATCTAACAATGTAACTTGCTATTAAAATTTTATTATATTTTTCAATTTAGTAAAATGTTCTGAATTTTCAAAAGTTCTCAGTATCATAAATTGAGACGATATTCATGGAAATTGACTTTTAATTATATGGTATACACTGAGATAGCCAACAGTATTTTATTTAGTCATAACAAGAAATTTATCTGTTTTTAAAAATTCTGTATTACTGTAAATAATCTTGAGGGAAAGAGGAGAGTTGATGTTTTGTAAAAGAAATTTTGAGTTTTATTCAAAGTAGTGATGATATATTCTGTAAAAAGTTTTTTGTCTTTTTAGATAAGATGTTTTAGATTTATCAGACAAAAAAACTAACACAAGTAAACTGGAACTATATAATACTACACACAACAATTAACATCTCAATACTAATTCCAGCACTCAAAAAATTTTAATGATCTAACATTTTGTTGTGTTTCATCCTGAGGAGGGCCTCTGACGTAACGGTTGAAAACGTTAGATCATTAAAATTTTTTGAGTGCTGGAATTAGTATTGAGGTGTTAATTGTTGTGTGTAGTTTTAGATTTATTATATTAGAAAAATTATATATCTAAATGAAAAGAAAGAAAAGAAATTTTAGAATTATTTATAAATGGTATTAATCATTAAATATTAAATAAAAAATAAGTAATTGAAACTAGAAAAACTGAAGTAATTTGTCATTAGCATATTAGATATTCATATGATTATTGATCTGAAGAAATTAGACAATTATTTCCATTATAACATTGTAGATTTTTTATTTATACATATCTCAGAAATGAATGAATTGTATAGATATTTTTATAGTATTTATTGAGTTAACAAAAATGAGAATGGAATCAAAAATATATTATAAATTTTCTATATTAATAGTTTTTTGTATTTGACAAGGGTGCACTCATTGGAATATGTGGTAGTGTTGGAAGTGGAAAATCATCATTGCTTTCAGCTATATGTGGAGATGTAAGTACTGTTAAAAACTATTCTCCATTTTGCATTTCAGATATTAACAAATTGTTAATCAAAAGTTCATAAGGTCAGTCAAAATGGCTTACCATTGTAATGTGAATATTGTTTATATTATTTAGAAGTTGCATTCTGTGTAGATAAATGATTTTTATAAGTTTTACACATTTATCTATTGAACTAGATATAGTAATAGAAATACTTCTTATTACTAATAACAATTTCATAATTATTTTTAGATATATCATTATTCTTTGTAGCTTTTATATGAGCAATAATTATCAAATTTAATTTATAATATTTCCATTTAAAATATAACTTTTTCAGATTATAATTTTATAATTAACTTTAAATTATGTCATCATATTTTACTAGTGTATGAATTTTTTAATATTAGATTGTATTCATGACTATCAGAATTTATCATGTAATATGTATATAAGCTCGTTTATTCTATCTTTAAATAGCAATTTTATCATATAATTAAAAAAATATCATAGGAACATGCAATTCCTTTTTTTCTTCAGAGAAAACATTTGAAATAATTTTATAATATTAGCTGAAATAATGGGTAAATTTATATTGTAAATGACAATTGATCTAGATTTTGGAGGCAGAATAATTTTTTAATGCTTGAATTTGCTATAAGAAAAATCAGCTTTAAAAATCTAAAATTGAAATATGTTCATACAATTATTAAAGCTTAATTCAAAAACTAGTGAAACATGGTTGCTAATAAATTTTTAAAATTATTTTTAAGAAATATATAATGAATGCTAAAATTATGTACTTTATTTTCATGTTTTGAAATTGCAAAGATACAAAATATATAGTTTAAATTATTTATTGTTTCATTTTAATTATTTATCTAGTTTTTGCATGAATGATCAAATTCTCCACAATGAGAATTAACAGAGAACATGTTATAAATGTTAATGTAATAACATAATTATCAATTTAATATTATTTTTATATTATTGTATTTATTTTATATATATATACTTTTTTTTTTCTTAGTTGACTCTTTTGNAGTTCGGACAAGGAGATGGTAGCTGCCCCTGTGGTAGTCCTCGCGGCAACGCGAGGCATTACGTACTTGACTGTCCCTTAACAAGGGACTTCCGCCTAGGGGCAAACCAAGTTGACTGGTCTAAGCCCCCTGAACAAGTACTTCGAACGCTAGCAGCTAGTAAAGAGAACCTAAAGAAACTAAAGGAATTGATGGGAAAAATCATAGATCTTTTTGATCTATAGATTCAGTAGGAGTTGGTTTGGGTCCCCTCTCGTAGGGACGGGGGCCCCGCTGTCCGTATACCTATTATAAGGGTATAAGTCCGTGACATTAGTACAAGTATGAGCTGGATAAGGTTTAGTATTGTGGACCACATGTGCAGTACAGGCTGCACAATCAAAAGTTATGCCAAGTTAGTGAGCTGGGCCGGGGTGCGGACGGGAGTCCGGATGATGCATCATAGGGCCCAGCTATGACGTCCCTGTCTACCGCGTCAGGTACCGACCAGTCGATGAACAAAACATAGTCTCTTTAAACCCTGTAGTGCCAATAGGCGGGGCAGGGCAAAGAGTTCCTTATGAGACTTAATACATGGAAGAACATTCATTGTCTTATTTAATGTTTTGACATTATAGGATAATTCATGGAATTGAATAGTGCTCTTTTCTAAGGCAAATAATTGATAAGTACTTTGTTTAATGCAGAACACGTAAAAATCTCAAACTCTGACATCGTGGACTTTATTCCAATGCATTCCTACTTTTCATTTGAAGGATCACTTTAAGCATTCAATTCTTTTCTATAGAGAAATATTTTTTTATGTAAAAATATTACTTTTAAACATATTTGCTTTGTTGTTTTATCTACAGCAACTAACTTTGAAACTGAATAAAAGACAGAACACTTCTATTTATTCTATTTTGCTTTATTTCTGTCTGTCACTCTGCTTCATTGACAAGATCTTAATTTTGAAATATAACTTAAATTTTAAAAATAAACAAATTATATTTTGGTTGGGTGGCTATTTTTAGAAAAATTTTACATTTTTTTTTAATAAACTATGTGATATTCAAATAATTTTTGATTTCTTATAGATATGATGAAGTAATTATGGCTTGCTGTTTGTCACAAGATTTAGATTTATTACCAAATGGTGATCTTACAGAGGTTAGTATGATTTGCACTTATAATAAAACTATTTTGAATATTCTAAGCAAAATTTTACTACATACTATACATGTCAAATTGATATTTGACATGTATAGTATGTAAACCTCTTCAGCTTCTAGCAAAACATGAGAAATGTAGCAATTCACAAACCTTTTCAAAATTTACCCAATTCCAGCTTTAGGTTTATAGAATTCAAATTTGAACAAGCCGGTATAAGACATGCACTGAGCCATACTACGTCACCCTAGCTATAACGATATTTCATTGACAGAAGAATTGAGGAAGTCAAAACTAATATCAGTCTCTTGTTTAATGCTACTAACCTCAGTTATGGATTAAGAAATACCATGCCCACTATGTTTTGGATAGCTATAGAGTTGATAAAATTGGAATTATGGCTGCCTTTAAATATTTCACTGGACTATAAGAGTGTGATGTGGTCCTAATTTCTATCATGAGCTGAGCCTGATTTAATTTAGCCTCTGTATGTCCTTTTGAGGCACACCTTGACAGGGCAGTAATTTTTGAGTGCTTTGTCGTAATTGTGCTCACTATATCACTATAATTTTTAGGACTGAGTATATTCCAATATACCTAGTCCTAAAAATAGGCATAACTATTAATTTGGCTTATATTTCAAGAACTACTGATCAGAACAGTGAAACTTAATAGACAAGCAGAACATTGTATTCTTTATGCAACAAAATAATTGAAAAGAAAAAATTTATTATAAATTACTTCAAACCAAAACAACAAGAAAAATTACTAAGCATTGTCATAAAATTTTCTGCACAGTAAATGATTAACCCTTTCACTATGATTTGACATAGTTAAACATTTAATCATTTACTGTGCAGAAAGTCAGTTCTGCTTCAGCTGAACAATTGACTTGATGAAATTTTGCCATTTTAAAATTGTTTAATTTTAATCAAAAATTCTATTTTTTAGCTTGCACTTCTTTTTAATATATGTAAGTTATATAACTTACATACATATATATGTATCTACTCAATTAATTAATTTATTATTATTTTAATTTTCTGTATTAATTTTATTTATTTTTTACTTTTTTCAATCTAGGGAAACACCTGCACCAGTTGATTTTCTTTCTGGCTTGGTGTCATAAATTTTGTTTTACAATTTTGTTATTTACCATTATATATAGATGTATTTTATTAATTAATTTATTATTATTCTTATTTTTTGTCTTAATTAAATTTTATTTTTTTTCAAACAAAAGAAACACATTCACTAATCAATTTTTTTTTTTCTGTATGGTGTGTTTATTGTTCTGTATTTCAGCAGAATAATAATAATAATTTTTTGAACATTTTTTCTGAAACACATTAATCTTTTAAAAATTTATATTATTAGCAATTACAAAGTACATTAGTTGAAAATATTAATAAATAAAGTTAAATTAATATAAATTTAATATTAATAAAATTTAATGTGACTATTTTCTATTATTACTCGCATATAAGACGAGGTTTTTATTCATTTTTCACTGCTTCAAAAACATAGGTTGTTCTATATGTGCATGTGAAGGATTCTGTGATTTCTTTGATTTTTGCAATAATTTGCAAAAAAACAAAAGTATTTTATCTGGGTCGTTTGAATAGTTCTTGTGTATTGTCAAGACTGAAGCTGAAGATGATTAGCATTAGGAAAAGCAATGCTTTTGAATTGAATTCCAAAATCACACAGGAGCCCGATATAAGTTTAAATTTATTTCCAGATGAAAAAAGATGTTTATTCGGAATTCAGAAAACTCATAAGCGTAATTGACAGAGAGTGGATTCAACTGTTAAGAATTGGCAAAAAAAGGTTCCGAACTGTCCAGCTTTACATGAACAAATTATGTTGTCGATTTTACAAGATTTTTCCTTAAAGTTTAAAATGTCAGTAATTTTTGTGGGACAATGTGTGCATTTACATGTATTTGATATAAAATTGGAATTGTATTAATAAATCTAATTTTCTTTATTTTGATCTTTAAAGTCACACTTCGTTCTATATGCGCTATATGCAAGATCGTCTTATATGCAAGTAAATACTGTATATGGTTTCATGTAAAGTGATATTATTCATGAAAAAAATAAATCAATATGCATAAATCTTATCTCATCATGTAGTAAACAATATTTATTTGTGTGCTAGCTTGGTAGCAAGAATAAATAATGAAATTGAATGATTTTATTTTTTGTCAAAGTAATGTAGTTTATATAACATTGAAAATTTTCATCATAATTTAACATATTTTGTAAGTAATTTTTACTCTGAACAATAATACACTATTGTGCCAAAAACTACATACAAAAAATTTCACATATACTTATTATTTTATCTCTATGATAAAAATTTGATTTCTGGTAAATTTTCAAAATAAAATACCTAGCGTGACCTTGAGTGATTGTAGTTTGGATCATTGTTTTGAAGGGTAAAGTACAATCAACCAAACCATAACAAAAGGTGAGGTTGCCCTTTGTGTGCACATGTTATACAGCAAATGGTTACGCTAATTATAATGTTTAAGAGCTCAGCCAGGAACAAAGTTTATTCTTGAAGAACATCATCATGAACACCTAGTGTATTCTTAGTGACATGAAACAACTAATCTTTCTAGATTATCCCACATGTTTTATAAGATTTAGGTCAAAAGATTTTGCTAACTGTTCCATGCAATGAATATCTGTACTATCAAGAAAATCATTGATGAATGCATACCTACTTGTGCAGGCAGTATTATCCTTGAAAATGAAATCTATACTATTAGCATCTTAACAAAGTCACATGTGGAATCCCAAAACTTTGTGTCTTCATCTTCTTGCAATAATGGCACCACTTGCAAGGACATGGAACTCAGTGTTGTGATTAAGCATAATGCCACTTCAGTACATGATAATTAGGAACCAGATTTTTAGGTTTTCACATATTTTTTTACACAATGGCCTTGCATTGAAAGTTCCAAATCTGCATATATTTCATTGATATGGATATCTGGGGCTGAGTTATAAAAACCTAAAAATGCATATTTTGGTAATACAGTAGAGCCTCGAAAAATCGGCCTAATGTGGACCGAAGGGTGGCCGAGTTTGTGAAAATACTGGGTTATATGGAATGGGGTTAAAAAAAGAATAAGTATGAGTGTTTCCTCAGAAAATACTGTACTGTACTTGTATGTATTGTTTACTTGAGAATACAACAGAGAATAAACTGCCCAAATACCCTTAAACAAAGGAAAAGTACGTCTTTTATGAAGGCATAGAGCCTTTACTACATGAAAATGAAAATTAATGAATACACTGTACAGTAATTTACCTGATAAGACAGATCTCAGAAAAATACTTTGAGGCATAAAGCTGTCTTTATCATGAAAATTAATTAACTAAGAATTTTTTTGCCCTGCCAGGGTGTGGCCGAGTTATCCGGAGTGCTGGGTTATCGAGTGCCGAGTTTTCGAGGCTCTACTGTAAAGCCTAAAATGCATATTTGAGAATATTTTGGTATAAAAAAACCTAAATTTGGCATATTTTGCCAATTTCCTAAAAATTTCTTTAGCCAATCTCCTCTCTTCAATCTCCAGGGATTGTGTCCCCTTTTTCAAACTGGTTCTCATCGGTTTGTTTCATGATTGAATGATTAACATCCTGTTGCTACCCATTGGACACTTTGACAGGAAAATACCAGAAGGTATTTAACCTTAGACTTTGTTATTTAGGTCATACCTCTCCTTCTTCCTAAAAACTATTTATACAGTGGGGTCACTTTCATTTTGTTAGTTTGCGACAAGCAGCTATAGACTCGAGTCAAGTATACATTATTGGATACAGATTGAAAATGCTGAAAGAATTGTCATCGAAATTGTCTCTTTTGTGGTCCTACATTGCTGAATTTGGAGGGCCTGAAATATTTAGCACTGATGGGAAGGTTCTGCATTGTGATGCCTGCAATGCACATATTGTTTGCAACAGGAAATCTCAAATTCAACAGCACATGCAAACAGCTAAACACAAGAACGACATGATCTATATGACATGTTTAGCCCATGGATTAAGCAGAGTAGCTGAAAAAATTTGAGATACCTATTCAAGGGTGTACCCAGGGAGAAGCAGCCCCTCCCTAGAAGAAAAATTAAAATGTAATAATTGACACATAGACACACAGCACAGACATATCAATTCAGTATCAGTTTGAACAATGAATATTGTGATTACACTAACCCTCCCCACTTCCTCAAAACTAATATGAGTTTCCCCCTCTAGTTCAGATCCTGTGTACACCACTGTACTTATCCTAAAGTTGACAAGTTAGTGGCATGTGTTAAGAAACTGTTCATAAAGACACTTCACAGTTATGGAAAGGCTCAACTGGACTCCCTGTTTCCTCTGAGCCAGTTTTCACACACTGGGGAACCTGGTTGGATTCCATGTTTTACATTTGAGAATACATGGACTAGCTGAAGAACCTTTTTATCGTATACTTGCAAAGATAAGACCTTGGCTATGGAGAGTGCTGCATATCTTTTGCAAGATGCATCAGTTTGCTGAGAAGTAATGATCCTTATAGATCTGTTATTTCTAAGGACTAGCATTAAGCAACTGGAGAAGCAAGGACTTCAACTGCATGAGTGTATTTCTATCATTGAAAAATGTTGGAGCATCCTGCAATCTAATCCAATGCAAAAAATATGAGATACTGTGGAAAAATTGAATATTATTTTAGAAAAAAAATCCTTCATACAAGGAAATATACATAATTAATGAAATATTGCAAGGATCTGAACTAACAATGGATGATGCAGAAAAACTGACTGTTTTCTCCATTGGATTATTCTATGATGCGATTTGCTCCTGTGACATCGGTTGAGGTAGAGAGACTTTTTTTAATTATGAGAAGCTTCTCAGAATAAGCCAAATATAGCAACTGTACCAACCTGTGTTTTGCAATTACAATAAATCCGAGCACTAATCCTCTTAATGCCCATTTAATTTTTGAAAATGCACTCAAAAAACCCATTTTTCAAAATTATTATTTATATTCAAGTCCCAGTGAATGCATATCCCAAGGAGAAAAAGTCAGAATGCAATAATAGCTGAGATAAATTCCACACCCAATGCAATTTTATAGTAATAAAATTAAAACTATATGAAATATTTTAAAATAGATGTTTTTATTTAATAAATATAGCATTAGAGATGATTTATTTGTCATTTTATTGCTTTAAAAACAAGTTGTAGTGGGACACCTTTTGTCTTCAGTGTTTACAAATATTTGACCTTGAGCTCAGATGTTTGATTGACTTTCACGGGATGTCTTCATGTAAACTTTGAGGGGAATTGAGGGTTCTAACAGGGTGTGTGGTAGTTCCAAGAATAGACCAATTAGAACACGTGCTATTTGGTTATTATTACTATGTCTCCAGGGGAGAGACCAACTTTTTTGTTTGATAGAAAACTTTCTAATTGGTTTACAACTATGAAAGTTACATGAGGAGATAGACAACGGTTTACAGAAGTTGAGTAAACTTTATTCATAAAAGTTATAAGCATAGGAAGCAAAATAATTGCATTTTAATTGAAATATACCATGCTTGCCCAAGTTAACTTGGGTACAGTCATTGCATCCATTTCGCTCAATCCAAGTTAAGTTTGTTAATAGATTTCAAATTGTTACTTAGTTTTCATATACATGTAACTGAATATATATGAAATATTCATGAATCATGATGAATTGATGATGTGATGAAGAATATGTGGTAGAAAAGGAAATGCATATTTAGAGGTTTTTAGAGCATATAATATGCATCTAAAATGCACTTTTTAGCACCTAAAAATCTGGTTCTGAATGATAACACCATCTGCAAACTGATATGTTTTAATTTTTAAGGAGCTATATTGGATTTTCTCCAGATTCTAGTCCAATGAGAATCATTTTGTAGACTGTACAAGAACATATCAATGAATAGAAAATTGTCCATTCATTCATATTCCAATGTTGATATTTTTAACACTATCTCAAACATGCTTTTCTTGTGCATGAAGTCAATGGAACACTGTTCCATTGACTTCATACCATATATTTAGTACATTGTACTAAATATATTGTAAAAAAGCCATTCACCTGAAGCTTCCTGTAGATAGTTTATCATGAAACTCTTAACATCAGATGAAATAGACAGCTTTACAAAGAACTGCTTACTAGACATTCTTTTGTTAAAATGTACTGTTAATATTAAATAGCAGTCCTGTTTTGAAGTGGTAACTCTTGGGCACCAGCAGCTTTTGTCGAAATCTGGCCCAAAGCCTACATATGACACTCTACAGCATATTCAGAGTCCTGGACAAATCTATCTGTGACTGGTCTGCTTTTAGCCTTCCAATAATTTTTCCATTTATATAATTGTGATAATGTCTGTATAGTGTTATCACAGTTAGCATTGTACAGTAAAACATCAAAAATCTGTCTTGATAGTTAAACTGCAAAAGAAACAATTTCTTATTACTATTGTGCATATGGACCCTACATATTTTGCATAAATTTGTCTTTTTTAATGCAACATTCAAGTACATTCTGAGTATTTTTATTGACTGGAAATGTTCACATAAATTGTAAATTAATTGTAAAAGCCTTACAATTAAAACTAATATTGTTCACATAAATGTTTACTGTTTATTTATTTTTTGCTCTATCTCTCTATCTAAGGTTTCAATGATTATGCTTATTCTTGGATTTGTTTGTTTGTTTGTTTGCTTGTTTGTGTGTGTGTATAAACTTTTGCTAGTTTTAGAAGATTTTATAGGATACATTGTAAACTAATACCTAATATATTGTATTTATTTTTATCAGAAAATTGAACATTAGTTTCTTTTCTAGATTAAAAATATGTTTTCATAAAAATGAACAAATGTCTGTAAATATATTTTTATAAAGTGTTTTTGATAAATTTCAGATTGGAGAAAGAGGAGCAACTTTAAGTGGTGGACAAAGACAGCGCATTAATCTTGCTCGAGCACTGTACAGCAATCGTGATGTATATTTATTGGATGATCCACTTTCTGCAGTTGATACAAAAGTAGCTAGTCATATATTTGAACATTGCATTCAAAATTCAATGGCAAATAAAACTGTTCTTCTGGTTACTCATTCTATGCAAGTAAGTAAATTGCTAATATGAAGTTGTTTTTAGATAATAGTTATATATTAATTAATAAATTACAGTAAAACTTCTCTAACTCAAATATTTTTAACTCAAAGAAAATGAAGCACTTGGTAGGTCCAAATGGAATAGCATAGAGATTTAATTAATTAATTAATTAATGTCTCCAACTTGAATTTTCTTAATTCAAACTTTCTCCAATTCGAAGGTTTTCATGATCCCCTGACACTGATTAATGTTACTTTCAACTTCCCTGACTCAAATTTCAATATTTATTCTATCCAAAGTGATCCTAATTATTGGATTTCCATGAAATTTTCAGGTAGTTAGTTGTATCTACAATCCAACACCCATTTGCAACAACGTTCCAGTCCAAAGCAAGAAGACCTCTCGCTTTATCTCAACAAGATGTACAGTATCTGTAAAACTGTTTGATTCCATTATCTACATTAAATGTTTTGCTGAAAGGCATTACATGGGCTGTTTAAAACAAAAAACTGTCAAATATTCTTTATATAATGCAAGAGAGGTAAAAGTATAAATCTACTCAGAATTGTCATTTTTCACTCTATTGCTCTCTAACTGGAATCTTCTGTAACTCAGAAGTTTTCTCCTGCCTTAGCATTAGAGAAGTTTTACTGTATATATCTTCTAATATTTGAAATTACTTTGTTTATATAATGAAAACATTGTATACTAAACTAAATTTTCAGTTTCTTAACAAATATGATTTTTTTAAGGAAGAGATTTTGTCAAGAAATGAGCTTTTTAGAAGATGACATTTTGTTAAAAGCTCAAATGAATTAGCAAAAAGTTTCAGTAAAACTAATTTATTTTATTTTTGTGATTGTTAATCATTAAAACATAAATATATTGAAAGAAAGAAAAATATATATATATATATATGTATGTATGAGGTGGGAGTTCCTGTTGCCAAGTAGTTCCAATAGTTGTATGTGTCCTTCCATAATTAGTAACTAAACACACTCAAGAAAACCTTTAAATATGCAGCCGTATTTATTAAATTCTAACGTTTTCGGTCATATTCAATGACCTTTCTCAAGAAAAAACCGAAAATTTAATAAATACGGCTGCATATTTAAAGGTTTTCTTGAGTGTGTTTAGTTAGTAAGAAATTGAGTTCCATAATTAGTCCATCAGAGTAGGTTTAGGAGAGTACATCTTCACAGGAAACATCATAAGATATTCTCAATGACATATAAGAATAACACGTTACCTCATTCACGATGAGGGAAAAAATTATTGCAAAAATTATTATACAGAATAACAAGATAAAAATTTATATACATGGGAAAGGGGGGAAAAACAGTATATTACACATAAATATTTACATATGCACAAAATATTGCAAAAGAAAAATACATATTTACAGTGGGAGTGATGCAAATAAAATATATACAGAAAATATTGCAATATATACATGAGCCATTGATTTTGAAAGTGGGGCAGTCCATTTTGTGAAAAAATAGTTAAAGCTAATTCTTTTTAGAAATTAACATAAAATTTATGTTTTTAATCAATTCACAATAAATATCTTTTAATATCAGTATAAATTTGTTACTAGTAATTTATATCATCAACGATATTTATTGTGAGTTGATTTTGAAAGTGAGGCAAGTCCACTCTAAATAATGACAGCACAAGAGTATGGTTCTATGTCGCCCAGGATTATTACAAATTAAGACAAAAATGTCGCAAAATTAATGCGTTTTCAGTACTTGAAATGAAAAGTGAAGACTTCTATTCAACTATACCACTGGAGGAGGCAATTTTGAAAAGAACAAAAAATACAGTAATACCCCGAACTTACGCAATAGGTGGGACCGAGCGGTAACCGCGTAAGTTGAATTCGCGTAAGTCGGGGTATAATTTCGCATATAAATACATACAAATAATTTTTAACTGGGCCGGAGACTAAAGAAAACAATAATTTAGAAAAAATGTTTAATAAAATCTTAGATAATACATATGTATAACAAATTAGGCCTATATTATTTTACAATTTTTCACATTTACTTGATTATTACGCCATAATTTTAACATTGTTTCCATCTCAGCGATAATACTGTGACGTTTACGAATGATGCTTGAATTTAAAGATTGAGCATTTTTCACAGCTTCGAGAATTTTTTCTTTGCCTTTTATAATTGTTCTGACCGACAATTCCGGTAGATCAAACTTCTTTGCCAATTCACAAATTTTCATTTTTGTATCGAAGTCTTTAATAATGGGTACGTTCGTAAAGTCAAACGAGTTAAACGCGTTAGTAACGAATCGTTCGAAAAGTCTAACGAAATAGGAATAACGATGACGTCATTCTCGCTTAACTCGTTCGACTTTACGAACATACCCAATGTTAACTTTACATTCCAAAGATAAAGTTTTTCTTTTCTTGTTTGATGCAGAAGAATTAGTTCTACTTTGTTTGGATGACCTAGTAGAGTCTCTCTCGAGTCTCCATAGATATAACAAACACAGAAATAAATAGCACAAAATAAATTGTAGCTATGTGTGGATTCTGCGTGACACATCCAAACATGTAAGCTGAACAATAGTGTGGGGGGAGTGAATAATCAAGGGTTGCATGGCACTCAAACAAAAGACAAATCGACGAGATTTGAAAATTGCGTAACTCCGGGTATGCGTAAGTCGGGGTAGCGTAAGTCAAGGTAGCGTAAGTCAAGGTATTACTGTACTAAATGGAGAAACTATCAATTGTTGAATATTTTCTGGATAAGATTTTCAAAAAATGTACAGTATAAATTTTTTTATAAAACATCAATGGAAAAAGATTCGCAATTTAAAACTCTTGATTTATCACCAAAATGGGGTAGGCCAATTTTATAATATTAAGACAAACTTCTTGGTATAGAGAGTGACAGCTGTTCAGAGGTTATACTGTATATTCAGGAAGTCTTTATTAAAATATTTGAAAAGTTTTTCCTTGTATATTATGTTTTGTTCAAATTATACTCAGCTGACTATAAGTAGAAACTGATTTCTTTACTTCAGCCTGTAATAATAAAGTATGTGATGATGTTCCAATGTCGATATTAATGTGTGTTATTTTATTCCTAAAATGCAACATTTTAAATTCACTTTTAAAAAAAATTTTTACTGAAATTATTCACTTCATCTTGTTTGTTGTTGAAATTGTAAGACTATCAACTAGAACAGAAGATTCTAATGCTTTTAATACTTGTGATTTGATTATTTTTTGAAGTTGTTCTTTAATCCTGTTGCTTTTCTTTTCTTTCTGTTTTTGAAGACTGCTTGGTCTTTTCAAAGAAAGAGAATTAAATAATCATATTATTTACACTGTGTGAGGTTCCAGACCAAGTTCAAACCTGTCATTAATCACGCTAGAAAATATATTTTAAAACAGAAAAAAAAAATTGTATTAAATGAACACAGCATAAAGCGATGTGAATGTAAATAATGTGAGTCCTGAGTGTGACTCAGACACATGTTAAGTAATAAATCAGTATCAGGCTGGGAGTTCAAACTTTGACTGACACTTGTGTACCAATGATCGATGATTGAAGTTAAACTGAGTCGTGAAATGGGGAAGTTTAATGAAAGGAAAACATCATATTCAATAGTTGACATTCCAAAATGTCGGAACAGAGAACATAATGATCAAAAATATGAGTGCAGAAACATCCATTCAAGGCACTCAGTCAGCCATTGCATACCCGGCAAGGCATAAATATACAAATATAAACACCATCTGAAACCCAATACAAGCACAGGTTTTGAAGTTCCATCAAACATCTCCGAGTCACAGTTGAAGGATGGTGTTGAGTTGAATACCAAAGATCGACCTTTCTTGTGACCTGATCCAATCTTATTTCCACCTGGAAACAAGGGAGGAGACCAATCAAGAAACAATGAGAGGGAATCAGAACCAATCAGGAAATTCTGGGATGAAATCCTTTAAATACCCTGGATTTCAAGGACAAAGTGCAGATTTGTTTCATTTTCACTGTCAAAAGTGACCTGTGCACTCCTCTCTCCTTGTTTCATGTACCATCATCCTTGCTGAAGTTCCTGATTTTGTCCTGTGTTTGCTTTGTCATCATCCTCCATCTGCCAAACTTACTCAAGACACAGCCCCAGGACCATTGTCACCTATGAACCACCTCCAAGACCAGCAGGATTCACCACAAACTCTGATAAAGTGATACCCAAACTAAGAAATTGTAAGTCCATCTTATATAAAATAAATTGGTTTAATTTGTAAAGGTGCTTCTGTCAGTATGTCCAATGCTACTACCCTCAAACAGTCCTAAACCCCCTCATACATCCTGATGTGAATTTAACTCCCCTTTTCTTGGTCAGCAAATCTCACACACTGTTTCAAATTTTTATGGACTATAGTCTTGAATGTAAGATTATTCTATTTTCCACTGGCTTATAATTAACATTTTATTATCTAAATATGGTAATAGCTGTCTTTTTAATATTTTCTTGAAATGCAATTATAATAATTATAACCAAAACATTTTTACAAGGTTTTAGAAAAATGTCAAGAAGTTATTTTTATGAAAAGGGGTCACATTGCAGAAAGAGGAACTCATTTAGAGTTAATGAACAAGAATGGAGAATATGCTCGTATGTTTAATCTCGATAAAGCTAAATATCAAAATACTGCTGGAACAGAAGGTATTTTTTTTTTAAGTTATTGTCATAAGGAAATATTTTAAAGTTAAATAATTATATAGTTTGTATTATGAATATAATTACTTGTTTTCTTTAAAGTTCTTTAATTCATGATTTAAAAAAAGTTGACAACATATTGAAATTTTTATGGATTTAAATACTCTTGAACTATAAAATTAATTAATATAAATTATTTATTAATATCAACAGAAACCCCCATTGGTTTCTATTCTATGGAACAATGTTAAAATAATACAAAAAGTGCAGAAAAAACAACAAATAAAATATGCAAAAGCCTGGCACATCTGCAAGGCTATGTTTAAGGAGCAGGCAATTAATTTTAACAATGTTAACATAATTCTGAGAGCATGGAAAGCTTTGCTGCATAGCACTAATGATTGGCATTTAAATATTATCATACTGTATTCGTTTTATTTATTTACCAATGTATTTTGGTTTATGTTAGTGTAGTTTTATTTTATTTTGTTTTATTTTATGTAGTTATTTGATTATTTATTTATTTATGGAATTATTTTTGTTAATAACAATGTGAGCTTTAAAAAAGTTCTAAAAAACAGTTAGGCACTTGTTTTTATTAGAATGTTTTTCCTGAAGAAGATTGTTTAAAACTATCAAAACCATTAGAATAAAGTTATATGTACTGCATTAAAAGGTTTTTGAGTGAGTGTTTTATAAAAGTGCAGTTTAGGAAGGAGTAAATAATAATTGAAAAGGGCCATTTTATCTAAGTGAAGTATCATAAAACAAGATATATCTGTAATTTAAATAAATAATTATCATCTTCTATAATCCTAATTTTATTTTTTTAATTATCATCAACAATAAGACATGATGTTATTGGGAAATTTCATTTTTTAACTGTTTAGAAAAATTAAGTCCTGCCAGTTAGTAACAAATTTTCATCATTTATTTAAATATAAATGACTTTTTATATGAAAATATGATCATAATAAAATTATTACATATAACCAAATTTATTTATATAAAAAAATTTTAATATTTATATTCAATTGTATTTGAATATATGAAACATTTAGCAAGTCATAAGTCCAAGTGTGTTTGAATAAATTCTCCAGCAAAATGTACAAAAGCTTTGCACAAAATGGTTAATATAAGATTTTAACATGGAAACATATATTTAAAAGTTTTTTTAGAAATTTGTATTATTTATTTAATTTTGAACTTATATATTTTATTAATTTATGTTTTAATCTATAACTTAGTGATTTACTTCTAACAAATTATATCTATTAATATTTATTTAATATCAAAATTTCATAATTAAAATGTAAGTTAATAATACATTCTATCCCATTATATTTCATTTAAAAAGAAGCAATAAAAATAAAAGTTTGTATAATTATTTTATAAATTAAAATTGATCAATACTATTTGTTAGATTAATATTTTGATTTTAATTGCAAAGCATTATTTCTAAGGATTCTTTTAGGTAGGTAATCATTATATAAATTTATAATAAATAGTTTATTTGATATAATTACCTCATAGAATATAAGTACAAATTAATTTTGTCTTATCACATTGTAAACTTACTTTTATTACTTTATATGATAAATTATTTAAACTGAAATAAAGAACTGATCAATAATAATAATATTTTATAGTACAAGTAAGCTGACCATAACATTTACAAATTACAATCCAACTGGAAACACATTTCAGAATCATTGGCAATGGGGTCAAAAACTGATTGAACTTTGGTTATTTTTTTAAAATTTATTTATTTATTGATCTATAAATTGATGATGATATATTAGCATGTTAATAAAATTGTTCTATTCAAAGATTGATTCTACAATCTCTTGTTAAAAACAGGCAAAACCAGGGACAGTCCCAGAAATTGGGGATGTCTGGTCACCCTAGTAATAAGCATACTGTAGTACTGAGTTTACATAATTTAAAGGAATACTATAAAGTTTAATTAAAATTGAAAATTTTCTTTTGCGCATTGATGTGCAAAAAATTTATTTCAGTAAAATAGAGTTTTAGAAATATAAAATGTTGCATTAGTTGAATACAGTTTTTATAAAAATGGCTGAACTTTTGTTCATTTTTGAAAGATTTCATTGTATTATTAAAGGCCAAGAATTTTTATTAAAATTGATTGAATTTCAATTTTCTAATGATAAAATTTTAAATGAATTTATTTTGAAATTTTATTAATATATTGTAATTTTTAAATATTTTCAATATAAATTCTGAATATTTTTTTAAAGTTTTGAAGTTTAATCCATTTAAGATTATCATTCTCTTCATTTTTTTTGTAGTAACTATTAGTAAGCTTTGGCAAACACATTAACTGTATTAATTCATATGCCTTTTCTCCTTATTATACAATTTATTATATAAATGTCTACTGGGACATATTGTATTAGTAGGACTTATTGTACTGGAGTCTGGGTTCTGCTAATTGAGGAAACTTATTCAGAAAAAACAATCTTTATTGTTCACCTGTACACACTGTTTTTGTGTTTCAGACTTCTTGGTCGCTCATCAGCAGGTTTACAGCCTCTAGATGCTAAATGAAGATTTTATAAAATTACAAACATGCTATAATATTTTCCCGACAATAATATGATTTTTGCCCAGTATGCTACTGAACCAGGGGTTTCCCAATGTTGGGATGAGGCTACTCTTTTGCATAGGGCCTTCGACCGACACAACTTAATAATATGATTAAAATAACTTACAGTTTTTTGGTGGATAATTACATTGAAATTTAAAAAGAACAATATAAAAATTTGTATCATTTTCAAATGATATACCTGTATACAATAAACACAAATTTTAAATATTTGGAAAAAGTGATTAAAACTTTTTCTCTAACTTACTTATCCTTCTCTTTCAATTGTAGTAACTTATAGCTTACAGACAACATAACATAAATTCAAGGTGGGCAAGTCCACAAAAACTTTAAGCATTAATAAAAATTGGAAGAATTACTAAAATGAAATGTGGTTTATGTGGAAGCATAGGAGGGTTGTTTGCAATAAAAAATAGTTCTAAAAATCACTGATAGGTAGCATTGACATACAAATGACAACAAGTAGATAAGCAGATGTCAATGAAAATGACTTTCAATGTAGTTTCTGATTATGAGGGTATTTAAATTCTCAAGTGTTTTGATTAGGTCCTTCCACATTGTTGGAATTAAAAAATGCTATTTGTCATGAGACAGCATCCATCTGGAAATGCTGCACTCTACAGGTTTGGGCATTGTTACTTGGCTAAATTGTGTTATATCTTCTGGTGGAGTTGAACACTTGTCTAATAAACACATTGAAAGTCATATCTATTCTCATTGTCATTTGCATTTCTTTTGTGTGTCAATGCCACCTATTGATAATTTTGAAACTAATTTTTTCCATTGACAAAAATCCCCATTCTGACAATACATACCACACAACTACATTTCATTCTGATAATTCTTCCATTTTTTTGAATGTTTAAGGTTTTTATGACTTTTTTAACCACTCCGTATACATTTGTGGTATCAAAAATTTCATTCATTTTGATGGAAAAATTTCTTTTCTTTTTGATTTAATAAAATTCTTCATTTTAAAATGATTTTATTTTATAATTAACCTTAACCTTAGTTTTGTAACATGATTGGCATTTAAANATTACCTCATAGAATATAAGTACAAATTAATTTTGTCTTATCACATTGTAAACTTACTTTTATTACTTTATATGATAAATTATTTAAACTGAAATAAAGAACTGATCAATAATAATAATATTTTATAGTACAAGTAAGCTGACCATAACATTTACAAATTACAATCCAACTGGAAACACATTTCAGAATCATTGGCAATGGGGTCAAAAACTGATTGAACTTTGGTTATTTTTTTAAAATTTATTTATTTATTGATCTATAAATTGATGATGATATATTAGCATGTTAATAAAATTGTTCTATTCAAAGATTGATTCTACAATCTCTTGTTAAAAACAGGCAAAACCAGGGACAGTCCCAGAAATTGGGGATGTCTGGTCACCCTAGTAATAAGCATACTGTAGTACTGAGTTTACATAATTTAAAGGAATACTATAAAGTTTAATTAAAATTGAAAATTTTCTTTTGCGCATTGATGTGCAAAAAATTTATTTCAGTAAAATAGAGTTTTAGAAATATAAAATGTTGCATTAGTTGAATACAGTTTTTATAAAAATGGCTGAACTTTTGTTCATTTTTGAAAGATTTCATTGTATTATTAAAGGCCAAGAATTTTTATTAAAATTGATTGAATTTCAATTTTCTAATGATAAAATTTTAAATGAATTTATTTTGAAATTTTATTAATATATTGTAATTTTTAAATATTTTCAATATAAATTCTGAATATTTTTTTAAAGTTTTGAAGTTTAATCCATTTAAGATTATCATTTTCTCTTCATTTTTTTTGTAGTAACTATTAGTAAGCTTTGGCAAACACATTAACTGTATTAATTCATATGCCTTTTCTCCTTATTATACAATTTATTATATAAATGTCTACTGGGACATATTGTATTAGTAGGACTTATTGTACTGGAGTCTGGGTTCTGCTAATTGAGGAAACTTATTCAGAAAAAACAATCTTTATTGTTCACCTGTACACACTGTTTTTGTGTTTCAGACTTCTTGGTCGCTCATCAGCAGGTTTACAGCCTCTAGATGCTAAATGAAGATTTTATAAAATTACAAACATGCTATAATATTTTCCCGACAATAATATGATTTTTGCCCAGTATGCTACTGAACCAGGGGTTTCCCAATGTTGGGATGAGGCTACTCTTTTGCATAGGGCCTTCGACCGACACAACTTAATAATATGATTAAAATAACTTACAGTTTTTTGGTGGATAATTACATTGAAATTTAAAAAGAACAATATAAAAATTTGTATCATTTTCAAATGATATACCTGTATACAATAAACACAAATTTTAAATATTTGGAAAAAGTGATTAAAACTTTTTCTCTAACTTACTTATCCTTCTCTTTCAATTGTAGTAACTTATAGCTTACAGACAACATAACATAAATTCAAGGTGGGCAAGTCCACAAAAACTTTAAGCATTAATAAAAATTGGAAGAATTACTAAAATGAAATGTGGTTTATGTGGAAGCATAGGAGGGTTGTTTGCAATAAAAAATAGTTCTAAAAATCACTGATAGGTAGCATTGACATACAAATGACAACAAGTAGATAAGCAGATGTCAATGAAAATGACTTTCAATGTAGTTTCTGATTATGAGGGTATTTAAATTCTCAAGTGTTTTGATTAGGTCCTTCCACATTGTTGGAATTAAAAAATGCTATTTGTCATGAGACAGCATCCATCTGGAAATGCTGCACTCTACAGGTTTGGGCATTGTTACTTGGCTAAATTGTGTTATATCTTCTGGTGGAGTTGAACACTTGTCTAATAAACACATTGAAAGTCATATCTATTCTCATTGTCATTTGCATTTCTTTTGTGTGTCAATGCCACCTATTGATAATTTTGAAACTAATTTTTTCCATTGACAAAAATCCCCATTCTGACAATACATACCACACAACTACATTTCATTCTGATAATTCTTCCATTTTTTTGAATGTTTAAGGTTTTTATGACTTTTTTAACCACTCCGTATACATTTGTGGTATCAAAAATTTCATTCATTTTGATGGAAAAATTTCTTTTCTTTTTGATTTAATAAAATTCTTCATTTTAAAATGATTTTATTTTATAATTAACCTTAACCTTAGTTTTGTAACAGCAAGAATTACTTTACAATGTTAAATTTAATATTTTGTATTCAGAAACATAATTTCTTATTTTTAATTTAAATAATTAATATAATAATTAACATAAATATGTTACATTAGTAATTAATATATAAATATTATGTTATGTAATAATTTAAAAAATTATATTAAATATTTTAAAATTTAACATTGATTACATTTTATAATTTTGACAATCATTAAACAGCCAAAGAATCAGATCAGAATGATAATGTTGCAAACAAAGATAAAACAGGTTAGTAAAAATAGAATACATTTTTTCTTATTAATATAATGAACATAATTAGCATTCATAGCAAATTTTTAATAAGTTAATTTATTAAATATTTAGTAATTATTTTAAAAATTAAGTTATCAAACTACTACTGTTTAATTAATATTAGAATTAACTAGAAATTTAAAAATGATAATTAAAGCAATAAATAAAGGAAGAAATAAAATAAAATAACAAATAATCTGTCTGAAGGTGTTAATTTAATGATAAACACAAGTCTAAAAATAGAAATAAATAAGAAGATAATAAATTTATCTTAGTAATTTCTTACGTTAATTAATAGCTTATTGATTTTTATGTCTGTAGGGGATTATTAATTAATAAATGTAACCTAACCTAACCTATACACTATATATTTTTGTAAAACTGTGTAGGTTAGGTTAGGTTACAGTAAATTCTTAATAAATTAACACCTATAGAATTGTACAAAAATGTGATAATGAGTAAAGACCATCTACTCATTATCACATTTTTGTATGTATAACTGAGTGCTGCACTCACCTTTCATATTCAAACACTTGTAACTTGGACTTCTTGGAAGTTTTGTGGACAAACTCTTGTCTACTTTCCTTTCCAAGTACCTCCTTCAACAACATACCAGAACTGTAAATAATAGTCATCACTAACACTTAATTCTTGTTTTTTTTTTTTCAATCATGTTATTAGACATGTTAGCTCAGCTCTTGCCCATGAATAATCCTGTGTCTTTTTTTCACATTCAAAGTGGTACAATTCTACTTGCAAAGTGATATTATACAGTAGGGATCTGCTAGTCTGAACACTGCTAATCTGAATGTCCACCTAATCCAAACATATTTCAGTCGGCAGAGAAAAAATTTTTTAGCTCATAAAATATATGTTTTTTGTATTTTTCAGTTAAATTTAAATGGTATTAATGATACAAAAACATTTAGAATTCCACGAAATGAATTGTGTTTTATTGTAGTACTGTATTAATACTGTACAAAATTAATAAATCAATGTTTGACATGGCATATTAAAATAGCAGATCTATACAGTATTTACACAAAAAAAAACAGGAACAAAAGTCATTTTTCAGAAATAACGAAGTCTGTTTCTTTCTTTTTGCGTAACAATGAAAGCCAGCTAGAAGATGCTATGTTTCACAACCACTTCGTAGACATGCAGTCCGCAGGTGAAGCACTGGGATGTTGTTCCTAAAGTGTAAAGTTACAATACTTTTTTTTGTTAACTGTTTGCACTCTTTCCTTTATTGACTGCAAATTGGATGAAATAAAGACTGGGCACTGACATCATTGATGGTGTTGGATCTATATAAACCAGATCTGTTTTCCTGCTTGCTTTTGCATTATTTCAATTATTTGGCTAATCCGAAAATCTGATAATCTGAACAGGGCTCAGTTCCGATTACAGTAAAGTGTCGATTATCCGAATGCCGATCAACTGAAATGTCGGTTAACCAAAAGCATTCCAGTCGGACTGTGTCATGCTGAATCAAATGTTTTTGATACTAGATTAACTTCTAAAGTATAATTTTTTTGTTTTTGTATTTTTCAATATATTTATTTTGTTTGTACAAAATAAAGAAATAATTTTTAATGATACAATAGCCACAATTATTATTATAAAAATTTTCATTAGGCTTAACATTGACAAAAATTTAATACAAAGCGGCATGCAACGGAGAAAAATTTAAACATGGAATATATTAATATACTATATTAATAATGTATTTTTTCGTACATAATTGGTTATCCGAAAAATCGATTTTCCGAGCAACCCCAGTCCCCAATTGATTCAGATAATCGACACTCTACTGTAGTTTGGACTAGCGGGACTCTACTGTATATATGTACTATCATAAAACATGATGAAATATTTCTGAAATGGTTTGATGAGAAATTTCAAAAAGAAAATGTAGGCTTCTTCCTCAGACAATGAGAGTTAGGATCTCCATATGAAAATCCTGGAAGTATCAAGAAAGAAACCAGATTTATCACAGGCAACATCAGTATCAAAAAAGTGCATATTCCCCAAAAAAGAAGAATAGGAAAACAGCATCTAAGAGAGTAACATGTAGACTACTGCACCAATCTGCAGATACCAAGTAATAAAAATCTGCAAACAATGCCATTTTAAAACTTCAGACTAAACAGATTCAGAACTTGAATAGAAATTATAATTAAGTTTAACAATAATTTCAGATAGCAAATTTCTGTTTTTATTGATCTCATTGATCTGATTAGATTCCTGAATTTTGCTCAATTTTCTATTTCTATATTGAAATTACTTTTAATGTATTCTAACTGAAATAAAGTAAGGAAAATATTAAAATGTGTATTACTCATAACAAAACTTTCTGAAATAAGTAAAATTTCTTATTAAGAATACAAAAATGTAGAGTGAATGCAGCTGTCAGCCTCAAGTATAGACATTACAAATCCAACCACAAGTAGTGCCAGGTTAATAATAAATGATAAAATAAACTCAAAAAAAAACTTAAATAGAAAATAATTTTATTATCTATAATATCCAATGACAAGGAGTGGAGAGTTGATCACTCAGATTTTATCTGCTATGGAGAATTCTAAGTGTAGCTTCAGTATAGCATATTTCCTTCTGCTGTTTTGATTGTCTGCCACTTGTTTTGCAATATTACACAATTGTTTCATGGTCGGTCATAAATCATAGTCTGAGTATCTACATTAATCAGAAACTCAACATTTAACCAGTACTCAACATTTAACCAGTAAAACAACCAAAAGAAAAAATAATTTAGATACAAGTTTGAAACTATGTTATAACAAACTTGGTGAGGAAATAGAATTTATTATGATGAAATTTTATTATATTGAGATCTGTTTCATGTCTATTTCTTGATAGTCGACCAACCAAAAGACATTGAAGCCTTTTTTTATTATTCTAAAATTTATTATATCAATGCACCTTGCAATGAGAAAAAAACAAGTAAAATGGCAAAGCCATTCTTGGGACAAGACTGTCTCAGAGAGCACAAGCAACACATGCGTAAATCTCTCACTTGCGCCTGTTTGTAGAAACAGTCTCAGAATTTTGTATTTTATTTTGACCCAGTTCTCGGTCCCCTGACTACCTACAAGTCTGGTTTATTTTATGTGCATATGATTTGGGCACCAAATACTATGTGCCAAATTGCAACTCTTGACATGTACTCCTTCGTAGCTCTAAAGTGTGCAGCTGTTGACAGCAGTGTGATGTTAGAGATGAGACATAGTCTTCAAAAATAAATAAATGAAATGACAAAAAGTTTTTGTACATAAAAATAGATTACCATGTATAAATAAGATCTTTATATAACTAGTTTACTTATTCTTCCATCCTGTTACATAATAAAAACATCTCATTCATAAACCTGGTGATTATCTGGAGAATTTCCATTTGGATGCTGAGTTCTTAAGAAAAACAGTGAATGACACAATTATATCATAGATTGTTTTTATTTTCCTGCAACACATTTGGTACTTTTTTCCCTTTTTTGGATATGAAATACCTTTCTTTTCTGCATTTTTATTCTATGATACAATATGTCCATGATTATTAAAGATGTAATTGAACTTTATACAGTATTTGATATTCCAGTATTTGTAAGATTAAGCAGTATGGGGCTTGTTGTCTTCATAGAAAAAAACTGATCTTCAATTTTCTTATAATGCCAACTTCAGTCAATTCAATTATTTTCATTAAACTTCTGTAGTAATCATTTGGTTTGGAAGTAAAAACTCAGTTATCATTCTCTCATATCTTACCAAACAGACACTAAAATCTTTTATAGATGTAATCTTGTTTTGGTTGAGATGAGCTTCTTTTCCTGGGCTTATCCAATGTCTACAATACTTAATTAATACTTGTTTGTGAAATCAACACTAAATCTGGAACCTGTTACTGGTGTAAATCATGAGAAAATCTTTCTTCACAAACGTTTTCAAACTTTTTAAAGATTATTAAAGATGTATGCTTCAAAAAATAGAATGTAAAGATTTAAAACAAAATCGAATGCTTGTTAACGAAACCTGTTATGATGGGTATGCGCACTCGTGTGTGGATGGTGGTATTTAAAGGCTGCCGTCTATAAGGTCCTGCCATGCTTCAGATAGATTAAATTCATCTTTCCGGTTGATACAGGTGGTCACATGGCTAACCCTGTAGATGGATATGGCTTCTAGCCATTTTAGATGTTCTAGGTGGGGTGTAGTGACGATAACATCAGCCTTGTCAAATTCCGACATCATCGTCACTACAAATTACTTGTTTGTGGGCATAGTATTCACTTTTTGTCTTCAGTTTAGAAATGGCTCAATCAAAAAAAGGAAACATGAACACATACTGATTTTTTTATGATGATTTTGTTAATGGAAACTAAAAAAAAGCATGAAAAAACCATGCAACTGCAAAAATGAGTTTCCCAGTTTGACTGTTTTTTCAATGCATTTTAACTGTCAAGTGGATGATCAAGTGACTTGAATTGAGTATTATGGCTAATTCTTCAATTGTTATTGCTAGATTTTTCTTCTGTTCTTTATAGTAACTCTTCATCAAAGATTCATGACTTGACTATAGCTTAGATTCCTGAATTTTGCTCACATTTTAAACCATAATTTCAAGAAGAAAATTTTGTGAACCATTATATATATGGTGTATCAGAATGACGTTTTAAAAATTTTGGGAATTGTAGAGGATGAAATTTTGAATGTTTTGATACAAGGAACCCATAGGCGGAAATGTGATATAAAGTTTCTACAGCACTTTATATTTTGCACTCGGTATGCTGAGTGAAACAGCAGAATACAGTATTTATGGCAAGTTTTATTGGCAAAACAGTAGAGTACAATCAAACTGTACATCAAATCAATGGCTACACTACTTTAGAGTAAGTGTTCAATGTGACGACCACCAACTTCGACTCACATTGACTATCTGTGTTTACAGCACAGCGCCAGTGGATGCAAGGGGTGACCTGAAGGACGACAAGCACTAAGTACACAACATCCTGTACACAGGCTCAGTTAGACCACTGTAGTTGTGTGTTTACAGTCTTCCATCTGCAGCAATAACATGACGTCAATGGATGGAAGGGTAGCTACCAAAGTAAAGGGCGGTCGAGCACGTCCTACCACTGTACACACTTTTGTTCAAATTTCTGGTTCTAGATTCCTTATATCAAAACATTCAAAATTTCATCTTCTACAATCCCCCAAACTTTTAAAACATAATTCTGATACACCCTATATATTGACCTACACTAATAACAATGTTTCCATGAACTTTTTGTATGTTTTGAGTTACAACAGTTGCATTATTTCCTTCTTTAAATTTATGTAGCATAATATGCTGAATACAGTAGAGTGTCAATTATTTGAAAGTGAATCAACTGAAACATCAATCATCCGAAAGAATTTCAGTCGGCAAATTTAAATTTTCGCTGGTGCTGTGGCGCTGCAATCTTTGGCTATATCTTGGGCTACTCAAATATTTTACGTTTTTGATACTAAATTAACTTCTGAAGTATAATTTTTTTATTGTTTTTATATTTTTCAATATATTTATTTTGTTTGTACAAAATAAAAAAATAATTTTTAACGATACAATAGTCTTCGTTAGGCTTAACATCGATGAAAATTCAACGCGAAGCGACACGCAACAGAGAAAAATTTCAACATGGGATAAATTAATATATTTTTTCATACATAATTGGTTATCCGAAACATCGATCTTCCGAACAACCCCAGTCCCCAATTGATTCGGATAATTGACGCTCTACTGTATATTCTTTAGACAGCTCTATTTATAACCTTATGTATTTCACTAAAAACTGATACAGACATACAAAAATGTACAAAATGGTTGCCAAAGAGGGACTAATTAGGATTGTCATGGAAGAAAATTCATGGAATAGACTAATACACAATTATTTAATAAAATTTGATAAAAACAATTGTTGTGAAAACTGAACTTCGTGTTAAGAAAATAAAAACTTACAATAGTTTCACACACCTTCATGTTATTTGTACACTATGAAAAAGACAGCATTACTTATGAATGATCTGACATGTATATTATAAGCAATTAATAATTTCTCATTTATAGTTAGAAATATTCTAAATGTATCCTTAGTAATCTTGT